TAATATATCGGCGCAGAAATGATCTGAATTCCCATGATCCCTCAGTTCTCCAGCAGGAAACAAACAGCAGTCTGACATCAAAAATGAAACACGAACGAATCATCAGACGGAGGAGGTTATTAGCTTTGCCATCAGCCATCAGCTGTTTGGTCACATGGTCTGAATGCAGATGTGATATACCTGTCCTCGGCCAGAGAGTGGCGTCCCGACTGAGAGATGAAGACACCGTACATCTTGATGTCACCTGGAGGGAAGTCCTAAAACACACACAGACAAAGTTTAGACACTGAATCTGTTTTAGGAAGTGAATTATTTCTTGTTCCTCTCCTTATAGAGTCATATGCTATTCATATCTCAGATTATTATTTATTCTGTGAATCTCCCACCTGGGGATCAGTTTGATCTTATTATATTGTGACACAATCCGCGGGTCCAACAGTCTGACCTGAATCTGTCCCAGCATGTTGATAATTTACAGTATGTCTTTTAAAAATATACATTTTGTCTACTACAACACAATAATATGACTTGGTGAACAGGAATTTGACTTTTTATCATCTAAATTTGAATGCATCAATAATGTGATAGTTACCGTAAATGAGCCACAAATCAACAAAATCATCTGTAATGTCTCCATCTTTTTCTCCTACTTAGCTCCCCTTTAAAAAAGGTATTTGATAATATAGGTAACACGTTATGCTTTATAAAATATGTTTGTGCTACAAATTGACAAAATAACAAGTTGTGTTTTCAAGGGGAGTTAAGATTAACTATTTCTTGGCTGGGTGCAGTGACTTTCTGGACTCTATATTTGTTGTATATCTGTTTCTGTCTCTGACCAATTTCAAAAAATGAATCCGCAATCACATGTCTGACCGCAGACCTTATCACACAAACACACACAGCACAGGCCTAAGGTCTGCTGCTTCCCCACTGAACTGAGTCAGAACTCTCCAACACAGACTTTAAAATGTCTGTGTGAGAGCCTCTGATTAACCCATTAATGTTCACAGTGGAATTTTATAAGCTGATCTAAGCACAAATCCATTGCTTTTTTCATTCATCCATTGATCATCCTTTTTTAGTTGTCAGCAGGTGTGCTTTTTTGATTTCCAAGAAAACAACTCTAGATTTACATAAAAAAAAAACTCACACTCCCCCATCAATGAAGTGTATGAAAAGAAAACAAAGTTGTATTTTTATGCATAAAATTGTTCTCGCTGGTGCCTTCAAAGACATTTCAAATCCTTTGTCATCTGCTCAAATAACTAAAATCCAGCACTGTAAAAGCATGAGTGTCACCACCCTGCAGTGAGAACTATTGTTCAAAGAGAGAGCACAGTGTCTGTTTGTCTGACTGAACTGTAATGATGCTTATATAACGCGGGCCGCTCTGATCACTGAGGGAGATAGAAGAGTAATTCATCCTTTACTGCATTCCTTTACCAACTGCAGATGTGTGTATATATGTATACGTGTGAGTGTTATCTTTGCCATCGCCCACATCGGACAGCGCCCAGCCGCCGTCCCCGGCTCTCCGGCACCTCACAGGAAACTTTGAGGATTCTGGGTATTTCCTGTGTGACTCAGAGCCAAATGTCCATTAATGGTTGAATGTCTTTAAATAAATAGTAACGTCAAAAGGGATGTGAACATGAGATTTGGTGGCAATCTATCCAAGTTGTTGACATATTACATTTTGGACCAAAGTGGACGGCAAAAAAAGTAAAACATAAAATGTATAAGATAAGTGGTTACATAATAGCATAAGATAGGGTGCACCCTGGAAACGTAAACGTAAAAAGTTTTAGGAAGCACACACCTGTAAATTCACAATAAATAACATCCTATTGAGCTCCAGTGTTGAAGACTGTATGTGTGAACAGAGGTTAGGAGCCCAGGTTAAATAGGATCACACCTTGATTTCAACAAAATTCTTGTTTAGTTGCTGACAACTTTGAAGATTTATAAGGCACCAAGACACGGTGCAGTGATTTATAATAATACTAAAATGTGAGCTCTTGGTGGAATGCTGCATTACCTGGTTCAGTTTCTCTCCCGTGGGAGAGGAGCGGGAGCGGGAGTGTTGAGGTGTCATTTGTCTCTCCTCAGATCTCTCCAGGAGATCCTCAGCAGAAGCCGACTTCCCGGAACCCCGAGCTGACCCGGCCCTCTGCAGAGCGCCGTTGAGCTGCTTGGACAGTCCCAGGTTGAGCTCAGGCTCTGTGGCCAGCTGCTGGTGGCCCCGACCCGGGTCTCTGCTGAAAGACTGACTCTGTCTGCTGAGCCCAGCTTCAGGGGGGAGATATGGGAGGGTCTGGGCCTGGAGCTCAGAATGGAAGCCGGAAGGAGCACTGGGAGTAGAATCCAGGAAGAGGAATTAAGAAAGTGTAATAATAATGTAATAATACATTAATTATTAAATATGTTAAAATGCAATCCATCCAGAAGTTGTGCATACATTTCACTCAAAGTGTAAACTGAGCTGTCATTCATTAGGACCATAAGTATCTAATGTGTAAAAGAAGAAAAAAAATCCATGTTGTTGACATATTGAACTGAGAGACAGACACTGACGGCTCTAAAGCTACACTGCTAGCATGGCTAAAAACCAGCGTTAGTGTGTCCAGTCTTGGTCACCTCAGCTGTGAAAGCACCGGGGGCCTCGGAGTGGTAACCCTGCCTGGGTAAAAGAAGTTGGACTGGAGGCTCCGCAGGTCGGCTCCAGGAGGGAGGGTGGAGCAGAGACGATCTGTTCCAGAGTCCTGGAGGGAGAGCAGGCTGGAGGTGGAGGAGAGGCTGAGGGTGTCTGAGTGACAGTAGGAGACTGGAGAGAAGGAGGGACAGAGAAGACCAAGGACATGTTTAATCAGTCTGTTTCACTCTCGGTCTATCAATTCAATATTTGCTTTGCCTATCATTGATCCGTCATTTATCAAACCCTTCCTCCCTCCACCCACCTGTATGGTTGCTGTTTTCAGGCTGTAGATAGGCACTGCGAGGCCTAGATCCGCTTCTCTGTCCTCCCTCGTCTTTTTTCCCTCCTCTCTTCCTCTCCACATACTCGGCCAGAGCATCATGCTGAAGCTGCCGTAAGTCGGGCCTTGACGTGGCGTTTTGCAGAGCCCCGTCCCCGACACGGCTTGCCGCAAGCTCAAACATCTTCCGCCGGTCTGCCACGCTGGTCTCTGACAGACAGGGAGATCAAGGTCAAAGCCCACGGTTAGCCATATATACATGTTATTAATGTGCCATAAAAGATACCCAACACTGACGTTCCTGGCAGGCCGATGCTCAGCAACCAGAACTGTTAACATTCCTTGATGTTTATGTGATGCAAAAGCTTCTATCACATTTTTTTAAAATGCCTTCGTTTTCCTTAGATCATGCTTTGATATTCTTTCAGTACCGTTGCAAGACCTTAACTTCATATTTTTTGGATAACTTATAAACTACTTATTCTTATTATATATCATACTAGACTTTGTTTGACAAAATAAGCCAAGCTTCTCAAGCTTTTCAGAAATAAAGGTATTATTTAAAAGGACCAGTGTGTAGGTTTCAGTGACATCTCGTAGTAAAGTTGCAGATTGCAACCAAATGAATGCTGCTCGCCTTACAAGAGTGTAGGAGAAACAATAGTGGCTGTGAAACAATCTAGAGCCAGTGATTAGTTCCAGCCCTTCTGGACTACTAAAGAAACATGGCGGTTCAATATGGAGGCCTCCGTAGAAGAGGACAAGCTCTCTCTGCAGATAAAAACGGTTCATTCTAAGTTAACAATAACACAACAGTTCTTATTTTCAGGAGATTATACACCAATGAAAACATATCTATGATATATATATCTATTATATTCCATTTTTGCCCATAGATCCTCCTAAATGTTACACACTGGGCCTTTAAAACAGAAATGTTCTGACGAAAGAATGAGTGTAAATCTCACCTAGAATTTGATGCTAGCTAACAGTCATCAATACTTCGTGCTACAGAGGCATTTGGTTAGTACGCATAAAGTATTCAGGTTTTATGTCCAGTCTGACTCCACAAAATGAAGCTTTAGTGAACATTGAGCTGAAACTATAGCTAGCCTGCTGGTGATATCAGCTCTTGCAGGCCAAGCAGAGCACAATCAGCTTTTCAAAGTAATTTCTTGCTTTTAAACCAAATGCTTGAAGGTCATCCAAAATTAGCTTTTTAAACGTTTGTTCCTTTCATTTTAAAGGTAGTTTCTGCTTCACATAACAGGAAGCTTTTTCAGCTATGAAAGTATGAGTTTCCCAAACTAAACAAATGTTTAGCAGTTTTTTTTAGATTTATTCATATAAATTTAATTCAAATGGTTTCATGTCAATAATAGTGTAAAATGTGCTATATGCCTGTGGAAGCTTACACATTTATTGCATTATTAAAAGGTTTTTAGTGCATTTTGTGTAAGTCTGCAGTCTTTATATATTGTTTGCGTGACCCAAGTAACTTTGATCAGTGCACCATTGTGACATTCGCAATATTCACTTGATTATTTGATGATCTTGGGGCAGGTACTGAGACAGTGTAATTTATACCGGGGGAGAGGGGTGTAGGGCCGCAGCTGCTTTTTGTATGTACGTTTTGTATTTACCTCCTCCACGCCTGAAGAGGGCAGCAGTCTCGGCATCCGAAACCCCGACCTCGTTCATGTTCTCTGGCTCTGAGTATGACCGTTTCTTCTGGTCTGCCGCCAGACGCTTGCGGCCGCAGATCCGTGTGTAAGCAGGAGGTCCAACAGGAGGGACACTGGGGAGGGCAGGGGGGCTCGGGCCTCGAATCTCCGGGCTGATCACATGCCGCTCTTTCGGGGTGTGAGGGGAAGTGACCGGTGGTGGCGACTGTGGCGTGACGAGAATGCCCTGTGGTTTGGGCATGGTTTTTGGGCCTTTTTTCTCCAGGGAGTGCTGCTTGGTAGGGCCAGATGGAGGCTGGTGGCTGTTGGACAAAGACACGGGAGGAGGAGCTGCAGGAGGAGGAGGGCTGATTGAGGAGCTGAGGTCTCTCCGTCTGAATGAAGTGGACCGTAGGACCTTAGTCTGGGCATCTTTCAAAGAGTCCCTGTAAGATCTGATTAGAGTAAAGTTTCCAGCATTAGGATTGCTCACAGAGACTCGGGACACTGACGTGTTAGAAGACTCTGGGGAAAGGCTTAGAGGAGTCTGAATTGAATCTTACCTATTGGAAGACTCTGGCCTGTTGGAGGACTCTGACCTGTTGTAGGACGTGTCCTGCATGGAGCCTAGCATCTCTTGAATGTCCTGTCTCCAGGGGAAGTCTTTGCTGCTGTCACCCTCCCTGGATTCTTCTAGCTGAAAGGTGCTCCGGCTCCTCTGGAGGGCTGAACTGGGATCTGCTGGGGTCCTGAACACCACAGAGAAAAATTAACTGGCTTTTGACAGGGAGTAAAGTCGAGTAAACGTGACTCAATTTGACTATAGCCAATCTGAAAGGACTGCCATGGACACAGCCTCTACCTGTATTTCATGTGTTCGCTGCTGCCTCCTCTGTAGCTCAGAGTCCTGTGGGCTTTGGTCCCGTTAGTGCTTCTCTCCAGCATGTTTCTGAGGTCATCTGCTCCACAGGCAGCACCACGGCCTTTGTCAGTCATCTGATTCAAGATCAGAAAACAAAGCAGTGAAGTATTATCAGAGCCGACAAGGAGCAAGATTTTCTAAAGGGTTAGGGTTAGTCAAAAGATAGTCAAAACATCCATAAAAATGGGACTGACCCTCATTGCGTGCCTTAAAAAAAACTTTCTGTTTAATGATCACAGCGAAACATGGTGGAGTTTTGAGTTACCCTCAGATGGATGGCTTTATTGTGTGCGTTGGTGGTGCTGTGACTGCGCTGCTTTCCGCCGCGTTCCCGACGCTCGAAACGACTGACCTTCTCCAGGACAGAGAGGCTGCGGGCAGGTCCCTGGCTGCCATCACCGAAGCTACTGTTGCCATGGTTACTGGCACTGTCTGGGCTGGCGCATCGCTGGACCTCAGCGAGGGCAATCTCCAGGCGTGTCAGTGGATGTTCTCTGTCCTTGTCCTGCTCTCTCTGGTCCCAGTGCTGGTGCTGCAGAGCTGCTGAGTCACTGAGGTGACGGGAGGAAGGCTGAGGGGCTGAGGTGGGTGAAGCCTGAGGCTGAGGGTGACCAGGTAAGTGGGCAGTTGGCACTTGTCCCTGGGCGAGCCTGGAGGACGCCACTGGCTCAGAATGAATGCTGGTCTGGTCCACTGATCTGAAGGGAGGGAGGAGGAGAAAATGGAGGACACTAAGTAAGAGAAAAGGAAGGCCATCAACTGCCATCAACTGACTCAAGATAAACAAACCAACTATTCACTGTCAGAGAGCTACTTTTATAAAGCCCTCTGACTGGTTGAAGGACTGATCAGTTGGAGGATTCTGACCTGCTAAAGGACTTAAGGCCTGTTGAACAACTGACTTATGAAGGACTCTGACTTGCTGAAGGATCTGCCAGGTCAGATCGTGTCGAGTTTGTATTAACCAGTATCACAATGTCTCAGTGGTCATTAAAGGCTGACAACAGCCCAAGCTCCATAAGGACAAGAGGAAAAACTCTTCCCCTTTTTATTCAAAGTATTTGTGTAATGACGTCATTCCCTCCTTTTTTTCCTGTACTTCTTTGGGTATATTTTTTCAAGAAGAAAAGGGACAAGTTGACACATACCCTGTACTGCACTGACAATTAAAAAAGTCCACTGAGAACAGCCAGTGGGCATACTAACTTCCACACCAAGTGCTCAAGCTGTAAAGACTGACAACCACATCTTGAGGTGGACAGCCAGTCCACGCCTTTTTACTTGAAAAATTTAACTTTTGGGGCGCCCGGTTAGCTCAGTAGGTAGAGCTGGCAACCCATATACGGAGTTGCTGCAGTGGCCCGGGTTCAAATCTGACCTGTGGCCCTTTGCTGTATCCCCTCTCTCTCTGTCTCTCTGTCTCTCTGTCCCCCTTTCCTGTCTATCCTCAGCGGTCACTATCAATAAAAGGCCATAAAAATAACTTAAAAAAAAAAAGAACAGTTTACGAACTTTTCTAAACAGTGTCACAGCTCTTGTCAATCAGCAATTATTATTTTTTTAATTTAAATTTAAGAGTTCCCCCCAGACAGCAATTCTACAGCTGAACGCCTCACAAAGCCTACTGAATGGGCCACAAAAACTCATATTCATTCACCGTCAGTTTTTGGGATGTTTTTGTGGAGCGGCAGACTGCATCTCAAAGGAGGTTCAGAAAGTGAGAGACAGAATCTAAAATCTCAAAATGCTGCAGACACATTCAGAAATGATGTAAAGATTTTACACCATTGAATCCTCTATAACGTACCTGCTCCTGTCTCCCCTTGGCTGAACGAGTGTGCAGGGGTCTCTCCACTCTTGTGTGGATGAGGGCCTGAGTCCAGGAGTAAACTGGATGTGGGGATTATGAAAATCCTGGTTCTGGTCCTGGAACACTTGGCTGTGATGTCCCTGGCTTGTATGAACATGGGACCCTTGGGAGCTCTGACTGTGACGTCCCTGGTGGTTTTGCCTGGTGGGCCCTGTCTGGCCTTCCGATACTCCTCCAGCAGATTTCTGGTGTGGTCTGTGGAGTTTAGACTCTTCCTGTTGAGGCCTGAAAAAAACAATGACTAAGTTAGCTTTCAGTGCCAATATGTACAATTTATAAGCACCCGTGGCACAAAATGAGAGTAATGCCAGAATCAGATATGCAATATCAGCCAATTGGCCCAGCCCGAGAGAGAGGAGTGAGGCAAAACTGCTTGTTTTGTCTTTAATAATATAGGATAACCGGCTTTGCATCTGGGACACCGCTACACATCTAGCAATGAATTTGTGCATTAAGCCATATTTTGGCATTAAATATGCATCTTGGGAACATATTCCACCAAACTACAGCCACAAACCTTTTATAGCCACTTGGTAGAGAGTGAAGACACTACAAACACAGTTGAAATATCAGTATAAAATCACCTGTCTGTCTGGTGTGCTTGAGTCCTGAGCTGTGTAGAGGCAGATGTTGAGGAAGAGGAATATGAGTATGATGAAGAAGTAGTGTTATTTTGGTATCCATTTTCTGTAGCTGACATTCTTGCATCCCTCCGCCCTTCTGACGCTCCTTCCTCTCTCCCTCCCACGCCCTGCAGCCCCTGGTGCTGCTGTCGGCTGCTCTCCTTGGCCAGGGAGGGGTAGACTCCAGACAAGCCTGGCCCGGGGCTGGCACTGGGTATCTGTGCGTAGTGGGGCTCAGGCTGGGTTACCGGGTACATGCCAGTGGGCAGAATGAACCGGCCGGACTGTGAGGTGGAGCCTGCAGGTCCCGGGGAGGGTCCGGTAGGGGAAGGGGACTGGGGAAAGCCTCCACCCTGCCGGGGCTTTGTGGTGGGGCTGCTCTCTGGACTCTTCTCTATCACTGTGTGGAGCTGACCATCAGCGCCGTACGAGCCTTTAGCTGGAACCACAGTAATGATGTCAGTGTTTGTAAGAGAAATGTCTGTCCTCTCAACTGTCCGTTAGTGTTTCATATATTTTTTATCATTTCAACATATACTGTAAAAAATAACTTGAAGTATTATTGTATGTCTGGATTCGGTTAGGATTGGGGTCCTTAAAATGAGTAAAATCATTAAGATAGAACTAAAATATACCTGCAACTGAAGCCACAGGGCCACTGGAGTGATGCCAGGAACCTTTCTGCAGAGACCTGAGTAAAAGATATCAGATTAGATCAAATTAGATTAGTTCATTTTACACAGTAAAAGTACACCATACTTCACAAAAACAAACAAAGTAGAATGAATGTGGGGATTTTGAGCTTTTGATTGGATGAAATCCAGTTGATGGACCCTACTCACCGCAGTGACCGGGCGTGTTCCAGACTGGACCAGGAGTTTGGTCTCTCGTGGTTTCTGATGGCTGCATAGCTGTCACTGCGCCTTGGTGGAGCTGGTGCCCCCTTCAGGCTCTCGTAGGAGCTGCGGCTGGCTGCTGGGCCCCATATTGGACCCACACTGTGTCTGTTTGAAGCTGGCACCCCACCGCTGCTGCTGCCACGGTAACAGACTCCACCCACTGAAAGTGGAACAAATAGTGTAAAGAAAAATTTTAATAAATAAATACTCAAATTAAAAATCAATTACCCCAAAACCATTCCTAAAACAGAAACTTTACTTTGCAGATCTCGGCTTTGGCCTAGCCTTGCCCCACTCCCACTTCTGGAATCGCTGTTGCGCAGAAAGGCGGCGGAGCTGGAGCTCAGCTCGTGCTCTTGAGATAGGCCCTGCTGGGTGTCGTAAACCGTCCGGACGTAACGTATGTCAGCCTGCTGCATCTCTCCACTTCCTCCTCCTCTCTGAGAGACGGTCTCCAGCGAATAGGAGCGCTCTGGGCTGAATGAGGGTGTGGAGGCAAGGTACTCTGGGATACTGGAGCTGGTGGAGAAGGAAGAGTAGGCAGAGTCTCGTTTGCTGTGGAGGTGGTCGATGCTGTTGGAGGACCTGGAAAAACAATAGATTCAATTTGAGATAATGGCATTGAGACATTCACAGCTGTGAAAGACACACAATCAGCTTGTCAAACTGCACTTGATAATGGTGCTGTCAAAAGGACAACACACAGTGACCGGTTCATCATGAATGACAAGGCTAACATTCCCTGGATTTTCATAGTACAAAATAAGGCTCCTATGCTGCTTCCATTCTTTC